TTAGGTAAGAAGCTGCATGTTATCCATGTGAATTTTTTTTGGGGGGGGGGTGAGACACGGGGGTGGGGGTGGGATTGAATGGAACAAGATAGGGGAAATCCAAAATGGGCAGAGAGCAGGTATGCAAACTGCACATTAGGAAAGGCACGCTGGCTAATTAGGAAAGGTAATGAAGAAAAGTATTTGACCATCCAAAATACGAAGCCTATTGAAAAAAGCTCCACAATATTTTACATGTGTTAACAAAAAATGATGATACTTATAACAATAATCAGTATAGTCAAGAGATTATGAATCTAGTACCTATTTAAGCATAAGCCTTAATCATGGAACTGGTCAAAAATACGAGGCAGGTGCTATTTACCAAAATGACATTGTGGGTGCAAAATGGGGATTTTGCTTAACAGTGATTCCAATGAACATGCCAGCAAATTGCAAGGACAGTCAGTCACATGCACCAGATGGAGACCATTGCCATTTTTCGAGGTGCCTTAACTTGTGGGGGCTTCCCATCTTGAGGATTTACAAATAACTTCAGAAATGAAGGATGTTGACATAAGTGAGCAGTTGTGGCCTTTGAATTGTCCCATGGCATGGGGAATGCGTTCTCAAATTCCCTCTTGAAATCAGCCTTTAGGATTCCGGACTCTCCAAAATTAAAAACCACTAGAAGAGGGAGATGGTCTTAAACACCACCTTATGTTGTCAAGGACAGACTAATGCTCCTAGGGCAAAGATCACACCTAAAAAGCTATCATCATTAACCCTTTGCCTTTTCTCCTCTTTAGACAGGCTCTCCTCTCTCTACCCTGTTGACCTTCTGATATACGAAGACAACGACTCCGTGGGAACACACATCCTCCCCCAATGTGTCAAAAAGACCTCAGGAAAACCATCACATCCTGCTATGCCCATCAGAAATAACCTTCCATTATTAGGAAGCATATAAATAAGGAGAATTATTTATGTATGTTATTTATATATTGCCCAACAACCAGGGCCTCTGGGAGGCTTACAAGGTAATAAGGAATCCAGCCAAGCAGAAACAAAATGAAATGAGAGGGGCCAATTTCCTTCTCCCCTTCCATCTTTACATAATGTTGATGCCACCTCCATCTCTGAGTGGTATTGTTTTACAGGGTTTGGCTTCCTTGGCATGAAGGACAACAGAGACTGTGGTGTCTTTGTGATATATGGTTTATTTACACATATCTACAACCTGAGCTTAATACGGACGGGCTCACAGCATTAACACCCCAAGAGGGTCTTCCTTCCCCCCCAGCTACAGCCTTGGATTTCACCAGAGCTCAAGCATGGCTCTGTCTCCCAGCTGCCAGCCTGCTTCCAGCTCACACACCCTGGACTCTGGCTTTTGTCTTTCTAACTAACAGACAGTTGAAGGAGAGGGCCCATCCATTTGTCCTCTGGCACAGAGCCACTCCCTTTGTTACCTTGATGACCCAGACTTAAGAGGACCATTACCAAGAAACTTGTCTGGCCATTCTAGCAATTGAATCCCTCTTGGATTCAAGAATTGGAAGGGACTCATGCCTTCAGCCTAGTCCCACCTCCCAAACTCACAGGAATAGGAAGCTGCCTTGGAACGAGTCAGACCCTTGGTCCATCTAGTTCAGTATTGTCTACACTGACTGGCAGCAGCTCTCCCCTGCTACCTGGAGATGCTGAGGGCCTTCTGCTTGCGAGGCAGAGCCTGTACAGCTGAGCTGTGCATGGGTCTGCACACCCTCCTTACAAAATGCACGCTGGGATGCTTTAGAGAAAGGCAAAATATAATGCATAAAATGGACCCAAGCAAGCAAGCAAGCAAGCAAGCAAGCAAGCAAGCAGATAGATAGATAGATAGGCAGACTTCTCTGTACTGGGCATGGCAGAAGACCAGCTGAGTGACCTGTCCACCTGCAGACACTATGGGAAGCGACCCCTTGGTCACAGCCACCTCTGTGATCCCAGGCATGTTGGGAGCGGAAATGTAAATCAACCCTCTTCTGAAACACGGAGGAAGGCAGAGCGAGGAAGGTGGCGGCCAGGTCTGTGGAGGTGGCTGGTTATGGGCAGCAGGAGACAATGGGGCGATCCAAAAGGGCCGATGCGTCTCCAGCCTTCCCTGGTGTGTCTGAATGTTTTAAATGCAGCCGCAGCTAACAATTGCCCAGCGCGCCATCTGGAACTCGGTGGGTTCTGGGAAAAGCAATCCTGGTGCTCTTAACTCAGGGGGACTCTTGAAGTCTGTTCCTCCCCCCGCCTCTCCCCCCCCCATTATTACACAAATTGCTCCTCCAGCAGGATTATGCTTTAGAGTGGACATATTATTTTTAATGATTCAAAACTATTGACAAAATGGAAATGCTGCAGGGCCAGCGTCTCCTCGGCTGCGCGGCAGGCCGGCCACTCCTCTGCCGCATCTGCAGGCCGGTTGCCCAGGCAACGGCAACGGCCTTGAATCTGAATGGGTGCACCGCTAGATTAGAAATTGACAAGCAAAGGTGTGCGGATGCCTGGGAAGCAACAAAACAGAGAAAATGCCTGACAATTTAAAGTATTTTTTTATTGGCGAGATGAAAGAAACAAACGCTATTAGGGGGACAAATTAGGGACTAGCCGGCTAGTTTAGTCTAAGGCCGGCATTACATGGAATTTAAAAACAGTTGTGGCTGTCAAATTTCTTTTGAAAATGGCTGGAGAAAAGGAATTGTGTGCATTTATTTATAGCTGGTGGCGGAGGGAACAGCTCCGTATATCCATGAGCTTTCAAAAGACTGCGGTGGAAATACACCCAACACTGTTGGGGGTCTCAAGGAGGGTGGGAATGGGCTGCCAAGTCCTAAGTGGGCCCTGCCTTTGTCCGCCTCCCTGACTGGCTGGCTTGCTCTGCATCCTCTCTGTTCCGGTAAGAACAAATTCTCTGCTAGTTAGTCACAGAAGAAGAAAGGGTCTCGTGGCTCCTGGAAACCTGTATGAGTCTTAAAGTGGCCCACAAGCAACTGCCTGTGTGTCTGCTTTGGGAGACAGAGTGGTCATGCGTGGGCAGAAGGTCCCAGGCTTGTAGAACCATACACCTGTAGAGGACACCAAGGGTCATCTAGTCCAACCCCCTGAAATTCAGGAATCACAGCTAAAGCACCCCTGACAGATGGCCACCCAACCTCTGCTTAAAAACCTCCAGCGAAGAGAGTCCACCACCTTCTGAGATGGTCCATTCCAATGTCAAATGGAAGCTCTCCCTAATGTTTGGTTGGAATTCCTTTCCTTGCAATTTTAATCCATTGGTTTGGCTCCTACAGAAAACAAGCTTGCTCCATCTTCCAAGTGATGGAGGTGGCCAGGGCCGGATTTAGGTTTGATGAGGCCCTAAGCTCCTGAAGGTAATGGGGCCCTTTATATATCCAGCTGTCCTTCGTCAACAACAAATTGTTGCTGTTTTTCGTGTCGAATATATGCTATATCGTAATTTATGGACCTAATAGGTATCTAAAGCCATTTGCACATAACAAAATAAGTATTTTATCAAAGTAATTGTTGAATTGAAATACAATTAAGCAGAAGTATATTAATAGTGAAATTTTGGGGGGTCCTCCAAGAGAGTGGGGCCCTAAACTATAGCTTGTTTAGCTTATACATAAATCTGGCACTGGAGGTGGCTATGCTATCACCTCTCAGTCTTATCCAGGCTAAGCAGATCCAACTCCCTCCCAGACCCTTGATCATCGGCAAACCTTCCAGCTTGTCAATATCCTTCTTAAATTGTGGCACCCAGAACTGGACACAATACTCCAGGTGCGTTTTGACCAAGGCAGAAGGGAGCGGTACTATTGGTTCTCTTGATCTGGACACTAGACGTCTGCTGAATCTCCGGCACCTGCAGGTTGGGATGGGAAAGCGACTCCTGCCTCGAACCCTGGAGAGCAGCTGTCAGTCAGTGTGGACAGCAGTGAGCAAGATGGACCAATGATCTGACTCACTATAAGGCAGCTTCGTGCGTTCCTATTTGGGCAAGCGCTCTCTCTCACTCTCTCTCTTGTCTCTCTCTCTCTCTCTTGTCTCTCAGCTTTTTTGCTCTGTATGGCTTTTCTAGCAGTGTGGAGGAAAAAACATTATTTATGCAAGTGACTTGACCTCATTAAAAGCCTTTATTTATGTTGGAGGGCGTCCAAAACTTTCAGCTTAACAGCCATGCTGCTTAAATAGGGTCACAGGAGGTCAGTGTGGGTTCAGGGCACAACTATGTGTCTGCTTCAGCAAATATATGTTTTCGACCCCATGGCTGAGGAAGGCATGGGGTGGGGTTGTAGGGAGAAGAGGCAGGGGAGGGGGTGCTGGCGCTTCCTCACTTCTGCCAGTTCTCTTGTGAAATGCAACCCTCGGTGTCCCCCTCCCACCCCATCGGGTGTTCTCTGGTCTCCATGCCTGGCTAAAGGGGGAATGGGTTAAGGGGGAGGGGGCTTCCGTAGAGGAGAATTGGGCAAGGCGTTAAACTGCCTTGGCTTGCCAGGTCTCTCTTGCAAATGCTCCACCCCTCAAGTGCAGGTCTGTTTTGGAATGTGTTCACCTGCTCTCGAATAAACAGGATTTTGGAGGATGTCACTCCCACTTTCACTGGGGGTGTCGTTGCTACACCCCAGCTCTCCTGGGAAAGAGGACACAGGTGGTATTGCCCATGGCAGGAGTTGGGGGGTGTTCACATGGCTATTGCAGCCTGTTAGGTTTGAGGGGGTAAAGGCTATATTAGGCTGCTCCTCCCCCAACTTTCCACTGCAGCGCCCTCCTTCCCTAAGCAGGATGGGCTTTTGCTAGCTGCCTGTATTTGGGGGGTTGAACAGGAATTTTTGGGGGAGCCCTTGATTGGCCTTTGGACTCTGCCTATTGATAGGGCTGGCCCTTCTGCAGACCCAAGCAAGCAGTGTTGGGGGAAAGCGTGTATGTATCTAAGGCCTGCCCTACTGCCATAATCCAGCCCCTGCCCTCCACCCACACCTGCCCTCCAAGCACATGAGCGGCTCATACTGTGGATTTGAGCACTGGAGTGTTTCACTTCAGTGGCCAGTGATAGATCCAGGGCTCAAATCTACAGCATGAGCCACTCGTGTGCTTCGGAGCCAGGCTGCAGCAACCACAGCATCAGTCACGGGGACGTGTGTGAAAGAAGGTTGCCTCTCCATCACGAGCACAGCTGCAACATCTTAAAGCCTGGGGATGAAGATTTAACGGGAAAATGTATCGAGATGATTTTGGCCTTGGCTGTCTCAGCATTTGATGGCATCCTGTACACAGGAAGTTTTATCAAAGGGAAATGGCCCTTTGACAAGCTTAAATAGGCTCGGCCGCGCACGGAAGAGCATCTGGCCAAGTCCTCCTAAGAAATGAGGTGCTTCGTCCCCTACATCCTGCACAACATCTTTTCCCCGTGAAGATGGAGTGGTTGAAATCCTCGGGTAAGCAAAAGCTCATCTCCTCAGAAGCCTTAGAATAACAAAAGCTAAAGGAAAACAACAGCCACCACCCTAAAATGGCACCAGGAAAGATAATAGAATGAGATAAAATTGATGCACCACACACACACACACACAAACACACACACACACACACAAATATGGCTAAAGCCATTTTTCCACGATGATCAAAAGAGCCTGTCACCTCTGAGCGTGTCCATTAGTATTTTCTCCAAGTGCACACTGCTGGAAACAGGCAAGCATCAAAGGGCCAGTGGAGACTGATTGGATATCAAAGCTCTGGAGGAAAATGGGGGCCTCATTTCGCCTGCCACAAAAGCTGGCCTGTGCCTCAGCTGCGAGGCTCTGCTAGGAAGCCCTGGGCTCCGTATGCTTGACATCAAGGGCAAGGAAAGAGCGTAACGAGAGAATGGATAGACTCCGGCGACCTCTGCGTCCGCTGCGCCTGCATGCAGGAGTTGCCTCGGGCAGGAGATGGTCATTATGCACTATCAGGAACCGGCACATGGAACTCCTGACATGAATAACAAAAAGCGGCATGGCGACATTCATATTTATGCCCAGCACGCTCCGCTAATGGCAGGTTTAATTCCAGGTTGTCAAAGGGAGAGGAGCAGAGCCACTGGGAGTATAATCTCAAGATAATGTATGTACATCGCCAGGAACGGCTGGAGACGGGACAACGAGGGATGCTGCCTACCTGGCAGGCTGGTCAGAGGGCAACGCAAAGCAGCCAGTGGTCGCCAGAGGCAATTAAGGAGAGGAGGAAGGCAGGCAACCAACAGAGAAGGAAGGCGGACTGTCATCTGGCTCCCTGCTCCGTTGCCTGAGCTGGGTTCTTCTCGGATTCTTCTTGATAAAAGGGCAAGCTAGTCCTCTTTCAGGGCCCACTGCTTTCTCTTACTGATTAGACCAGCTAGATTTTGGTCAGGATTTCAGCAGAGGAACATCGGAAGCTACCTGATTCTGAATCAGGCCACAGGTCCATCTTGCTCTGTATTGCTAACATTGACTGACAGCAGTAACTTTCCAGGGTCCCCCCTCTCTACTTGGAGATTCTGGGGATTGGGACCTTCTACATGTAAGGCAGATCTCTGCCACTGAGCTACAGCCTGTCCACATAGGAGGGGTGCAGTTTACAACTGAGTTCACAACCGACCCTTCCAAACACCACTTCTAAAATTTGCCTACTATCTTAGGCCTGGCCTTCTGTCACTGCTGATAAGCAAAGAACAGAATCGTATGATTTGGAAGGGACCCCAGGGGTCATCTAGTCCAACCCCCTTCAACGCAGGGATCTTTTGCCCAATGAAAAGACAAATAATGGGTAGACAAAGACCGCACTGCATTTCGAACCCAGTACCATTTGGATAAAAGCCACAAGAGGTGGCAAAACCCTGGGATGAGTCTGACAGCTTTTTCCTAAGTGCCGTTTCACAAGTATTTTCTCTCTTTCGTTTCTTCTGAGCCAATCCCGCTGTAGATTAGGCATGGACAGATGTTGGTAAACATCTGGGAGGCTTGAAAGAGAGCTGGGAGTGGGCTCTCAAGATATAAATGTAAGAAAAAGGCTTCTGGTAATTCCCCAAGGTTTCCACAGCATCTTCCCAAAATGCCTCTGCATTCTGTTCTGCCACTTTCAAAACCAAATTGTAGGGAGAATTTGATGGAGGACATGCACTCTTGAGCCTAGGACACCCACCCCACTTCACCATTTTAGCTTCTCAGGGACTTCTGCTTTGAAACCAGGCCCCTATGGGTCACCTGAGTCCAAGAGAGGCAAGGTGTGCAGCCACTCTCTCTGCCTCCAACCAGTCACGGAGGAAGGGGCTTTGGTACCCGGGGCGGCGGGGGCATGGCATATCGCACGTGCAAGTGTCATCCCAATGGGGCGGTGCCCACCCGAGCGAGCGCCCCAAAAGGGAGGTGCCCATCCGCGGCGATGCCACCCCCAGGCCCGCCCCCTGCCCCCTTCCTCCGCCACTGCCTCCAACCTCCTTGGATGGCATCAGACTCCAGCAGCGCTACAAGCCTTTTCGCATCCTCAGGACAGATGCTACTTATCTTGGATCTGTGGAAATGTGGTGCTTGGGAAGCAGTCAGTCGTTTCCTTTGTCAAGTTATCTCAGCCCCGTGCCAGGCCTTCTTAACATACGAGCCTCGTACTTTAAGGAAAGTTAATTATTTCTGCACGTCTCCGAGCCAGGCTACTTGTTACATTTGCCATGCAGACAGTAGCCTGGCTCGGCCTGTTCAGAATACTGAGAGATCCCAGGAGGCAAAGCAGGGCTTGGCACACTCGCCGGTGGCGGGAATCTTCCCTCTTCCCATCTTAACTGCTTGGGCACATTAGCAGAGTGCGCCCGCAAGACAGAAGGGGGAGAGCTGGAGCTCTCAAGCCTGGGGTTTTTAGTGCAGAGAAAAGGTGAAAAAGAAGGGCCAGGACAAATGCATATAACATCACGCTTGGTGTGGATGAAGGGCCCAGGGAGAGGTTTTCCTCCCTCTCTCATAATGATAGAACTCCAACAAAAATGGATGTTGGCAGAATACCGTGCCCAGTTCTGGTCGCCTTATAACTTGTAGAGTTAGAAAAGGTTCCGGAAAGGGCAACCCAAATACTCGAGGGGGTGGAGAGGCACCCAGGAGGAAAGGTTGCAGCATTTGGGACTTTTTAGTTTAGAGAAAAGGCGAGTAAGTGGAGACGTGATAGATGCTGATGAAATGATTCAGGAAAGTTAAAAGAAAGCCCTTCTTCATGCAGCATATAGCTAATCTATGGAACTCCCTCCCACTGGAGGCTGGCATAGCTACCAACTTGGATGGCTTTAAAATAGGGTTAGATAAATTTACGGAGGCAGGGGTGCCAACTTGAATAAAATATTTTTCAGGGGGAGAGATAAGCCCCGTTCCTATAATTGATCACATAACACAGTGCGCACACACCCTTTGAATGGCAATACCCATTAAACTTTACGGGGTGTTCAGCCCCCTCAAATATTTCATTGGGGGGGCCTAGGACCCCTCGGCTCCTAGAAGTTGGCTTCTATACAACAGTGTGATTCAGCAGCAAAAAACCCTAATGCTATTCTAGGCTGCATCAACAAAAAATTTGGTGTTCCGATCAAGGGAAGTCATAGTTCCACTCTGTTCTGCCTTGGTCAGACCACACCTGGAATCCCGTGTCCAGTTTTGGGTGCCACAATTTAAGAAGGATATTGACAAGATGGAAGGTGTGCGGAGGAGGGTGACTGAGATGATCAAGGGTCTGGAAACCAAGCCTGAAGAGGAATGGTTGAGGGAATTGGGCATGTTTAGCCTGGAAAAGAGGAGAGTGAGAGGAGATATGAGAGCCATCTTCAAATATCTAAAGGGCTGTCAAATGGAAGATGGAGCAAGCTTGTTTTTTCCTGCTCCAGAAGGAGGACCCAAACCAATGAATTACAGTAAGTTACAGGAAAGGAGATTCTGACTAAACATGAGGGATAACTTTCTGACTTTTGCTCTGTTTTTATATTTTGTTGGACGCGGCCCAGAGTGGCTGTGGCAACCCAGCCAGATGGGTGGGGTATAAGTAAATAAATAATAATAATTCTGATGTTAAGAGCTGTTTGACAGTGGCACGTACTCCCTCAGAAGGTAGTGGACTCTCCTTGACTGGAAGTTCATAACAGAAGTTAGATGGCCATCTGTCAGCAGTGCTTTAGCTGAGATTCCTGCATTGCAGGGGGCTGGACTGGCTAACCCACAGGGTCATTTCCAGTTCTACGATTTTATGATTCTATGAACTTGCCTGCCAACCCTCAACCACAGGGCAACAAACTCACTTCTGATTCTGAAGCATCTAGGGGTTTCTCACTGAGGGCGACGCTTTCCGTCAGCACTGCTCCATTGTACTTGTTACAGATGTCCTCGTCGGAATAGTGGAGTCCGCCAGGGCTTGGACGAGGAGGAGATCTGGATGCAGAAAAAGGGGGGAAAGGTTATGAGCTATCACAGCTATCAGGAAGAACACATGTACTCGAATCTTTCTTTCTTTTTTAAATTCTGTGTGCATAGCTGAAACTTGAGGGCATTTTGTGCAGCTCATTTAAAAAACAAACAAGCAAAGTATTTTGTGAACTTCAAATACAAACCTAAAAAACAACAACCAGTTATGTGGGGAGAAACTGGAAAAAATGTATTGAAAAAGTATTCAAGGACACAGGTAAAGGAGGCAAGTCAACAGAAGCACATGTGTATTATTGCTTCTTATCCTGTAACCAGAGCCGAATTTAGGTTTGATGAGGCCCTAAGCTATTGAAGGTAATGGGGCCCTTTATATGTCCAACTGTCCTTTGTCAACAACAAATTGTCGCTGTTTTTTGTGTTGAATATATGATATTTGGTAATTTATGGACCTAATAGGTCCATGCACAACACAAAACACTGTTGCTGTATGTACGTTTTATTTTATTTGTTTTTTTATCTTATATTTTAGAAATGTACATCCAGGCTTTTTTCCTTTACATTTTTTGGGGGCCCCTAAGAGTGTGAGGCCCTAAGCTATAGCTTGGTTAGCTTATACATAAATCCAGCACTGCCTGTAACACATGCGTGTTATATAACCAAAGTTTTCAAGCGCTGTTGCATGACCATATCAC